CAAATCCAAAGATGAATAAAGATCCCCTTGTAGTCACAGAGGTTCAAATGCGATGACTGCGAGCTATCCGCAAAACAGGTGGTAGTCCTAGGATTAGTCTGCTGGCATTAGGGGTGCTCAATAACTTGACCAACCCGATCAACCTAATCCAACCCAACGAGAAATAACTCAACCCGAAACAACCCGATTTCTAATCGAGTTGTAAAATTATCAAACCGTATGTATTAGGTTGATATTGGATTACTATTATTTGAACTCAACCCAACCCGATGAACACGATATCCTTTTTTTTTTCTTGGATTTAATATGATTGTTGAATTTCTATTAATATATACATTAGACAATTACACTATCATGTATGCTTTTCACATACACATATTTTCAATCTATTCATATCTCTATGTAACTCATTCATATATATGTTCAGTAACTGTGAACATATATATGTAAATTGAGAAAATTAACTGAATGTGATATACGTAAGAAATATGTATAAGTTGTATCAAATGGTTGATGATGAAAAAGAAATTATGAGTAAAAAAAAAACATATTCAAGGTTAGAAGAATATTTTAATATATCAAAGTATCAAGCCGACCAACCCGTACGAGTTGGGTTGGGTTGCACTTTGTTTTGGGTTAAGATTTTTTCAAACCACAAGCATGGGGTTGGGTTGTTCAAATGTCTTCAACCCAACCCATAAGCACCCATAACTAACATAACAGGTTGGATATTCAGGTTAATAAAAAAATATATAACAAACAAATATAGAAACAAATTATTTATAAAGCACAAAAGTTGTTTCATTCAATTAATATAAAAACATCATTAGACAATTATTTTATCATAGAATTGGATATTATATTGTGTTAACTAAATTAAAGAGTGGACTACAAATCTGGTCATTGTGGTTTGTTAAAAATAACAGTTTTTGTCCATACAGTTTCAAAATTATAAGATGATCATCATAGTTTTAAAAAAAGTTTGAATATGATCCCTCCATTTAACAACCGTTAAAAAGATTTCGTTCAATAAGGGTTTTTCTTGTCTTTTTATCGATTTTTTTATTTACACAATTAAAAACCACAAGAACCAAATTATAAAATCGATTTTCGTTAAAAAATTCCGTTAAATCAGAGATATTTTCGTTCTTTTATCGATTTTTTTGTCTTTTACATAATCAAAATGATTTTATGATTTTGGTTCAAAAAGTAAAAAAAAACCGATAAAACAACAAAAATGACTCTTATTTAATGGTTGTTAACAAGAGAGACCAAATATGAACATTTTTTATAGATTACCTGTCCATCCAGTAATTTTGAAACTACAAGGACAGAATGTGTCATTTGTACATAATAATGGTAATTTTGTGAATATTTGAAGTTGCCATGATAGCTCCTTAGTCGACATCCCACCAATTTCCTGAACCATTCAAGTTGTGTGATAGCTCCCTAAGCTACCATCCCACCAATTTCCTATTGGTCATATAAAATAAACCGTGTTAACATTTGATTATAAAAAATATAGAAAAAAAAAAAAAAAAATTACAAACGATGATACCATTTGACTATAAAAAATTAATGTAGGAAAGAATGTTGCAAATGATGACACCGTTTGACTAAGAAAATGATATTGACAGGATTCGAACTTGAGTCTGGGGTGAAAGAAAAGTCTTGCAAACTAACTCTGCAAAAGAACACTTGTTTCCATTGTAGTTTCAAAATACATACGGTGGTATACAAGAAATTAATACGATTGCATCTTTCATGAAACTACGTTTTTTACTTTTCGGCGAGGAATGATAGGGTGGCATGTGCTACCCGTGGCACCACTATAGGTATGTCCATGCCGGTGAAAAGCGTAAGAAGGGATTTGGACCATTTATCACTTTTAGTATCATGTCCGCCCATGAATTGTGCTTTAGAAGAGAATTGATCTAGTGCATTTCGATGCACCTCAATAGTGTTCACATTCAATTAGGATTGGTACAATGGTAGAGATCTTTTCTTACAATTCTCACCGAAACCTAACCCTGTGCGTGTGTGTGTATATATATATGTGTGTGTGTGTGTGTGTATGCGAAAAATCATGTGAGAAAGAGAGTTAGTGTGAGAAACGCAAGAAGGGATCTGGATCCTAATCACCTTTAATCTCAAACTCAGTCATAAATCACGCTTGATATGGAGATTGATCTGGTGCACCTCGATGCATCTTATCCTAGATGTGTATCCAATAGTACAGATCACTTCTTATATCTGTCACCGGAACCCAACCATATACACATATGAGTCATTCATATAAGGGCTTAATTAAATGAGAACCATATTTATGAGATACGTGAGATCCAATGCGAGTCACTCATTTAAAATAATTATGTTATTTATTAAATAAATTTAAAACAGTAATTAGTTAATAAAAAAATACAATTCATAAATATATTTAATTAGTTTATTCCCTCCATAAATAAAAAATCCATAATTTCCCATAATAAGTCCTTACACAATATCTTTAGTTGTTTTTCGCCTTTTATTCTTGGCATTTGTCACCTTGTGTTCACATGGTGATTACAATGTGTAAAAAGCAGATGGTCAAAGTTGTTTAATTGAAACAATATATTTGATAGTTGTTCACACTGTGACACTATATATTTTTGGTTATGGGTTCATTGAAGATGCTTAGCAGCTGTCCAAATATGATTACAGTGTATATCCAAATCCTCGTACATATGTTTTTAGGATCCTGTAGTTTCCCCCCCCAGTATTTTCATGTTTATATTGTGTTTACAAGATGATCATAATGTTTCTGATAGTTGCCAGGTTATTCAGTGTTTACAATGTATTAGTTTTTTTTTATTAACCTGGATATCCAACTCGTTATGTGAACTGACTAATCCCAGGGCGACCATCTGTTTTGCAGATAGCTCGGAGTCATCATATTTGAACCTCCGTAGCCGCAAAGAGGATTTTTATTTCTCCTTAGATTTGAATCTAAGACCTTCTGGTACTTTTGATCTTTAGAATCAAACTCAAACCAATCAAGCAACATTCTTGTTAGATTTAGGGGGTGTTTGGGAAAGCGTTTCAAACGGACTTATTGACTTATACCGGTGCCAAACCGGTAATAAGTCATTTTGGAGTGTTTGGATAAAAAAAAAAAAAGTGCTTATACCGGTATCAAACCGGTAATAAGTCATTTTTGATAAGTTAAACCCTCTTGACTTATTTGACAGATTACCCTTTTAACCCTGGTTTCTCATCGCATCCATCTCATCATCGTTGCCGGCAAGACTTCCACAGACGACGTTCTTGCTGGTTTCGTTCGCATCGTTGCCGGCTATCGCATCCGATCTTGCTGGTTAAGAACCTTTAATCGCCGGCGACCTGGTGATGCTTTAATCGCCGGCGACCTGGTTTAGGGTTTAGAGCCGACGACGAGAAGGAGGCGACGAGAAAGGGAACGCACGGAGAGGAGACGGCTTGATTTCTTTTCTAACCCTCAACTGGTACATAACCTCAAATGAACCGGGGTGTTTTGGTCATTTTGCTTTTTCGTACCGCTATAAGCTAATCCAAACACTTTTTACAAAACTCCAGTTTGATACCTCATAAGTTAATAAGCACTTTTACAAAAAAGCATAAGTTGTTTTAAATAAGCAATCCCAAACACCCCCTTAGTTTTATCTTTTAGATTGTATTGTTAATAAAAGGATAGATGAGAGAGAAAAGAGAGAAAATTTAAAATGACCAAAATAACCTTTATTTAAAATTTTAATTCAAAATTACTAATTTCCTAAATTAACCTTTAGTTTAAAATGATTTGTGGTATAACAGATCTCACGTTATATAATTTAACGACATACATGTAAATCAGATGATGGCAATTTCATAATTAATCATTTAGGAGTTGTTTATCATATGTTTACTCAGGTAAACGCTTACCAAATAACTTTACCTTGTCGGATGAATATGGCAAGTACCAAAAATCTTACTCGGTAAGAGCGAAGACAAAGACCTAGAGTGTTACCCAGTAAGTGAGGGCGATGACTCTTACCATGGTTAGCGCTTACCGGGTAAATTGTTGCATACAATCCCGTTTTGGTAGACTAAAATCACATTTGTTAAGTAAGTGATAGTGTTGAATTTTACCATAGACGCTTACCAGATAGGTGTTTAGGTAAACGGTCCCTTAATCTCATTCTTTTTTTTCGTTCCACATATTTTGATAGAACAAGAATATCTGTATTTGTGTCTCATTCAGTCTCGTCATATCCACACCTAATATCGTGTCAAACCTTAGACATACGTAAACGTAACGTACCATTCCTGTCTCATCAGTAAAATCACGACATATCAAATTTTTATATATTTTAAATTTATTTAATTCAAGTACACATTCTCCATCTATAATCATTTATATTCATATAGTTGACGGGTAAGAATTTAAGACATGAGATTTTTATCTGCATCAGCCAGTAGAATTTAATTCTGTAATGTCCTCCTCATAGAATACAAACTTTTTTTTGGAGTAACTGTGAGTTTTTTTTAATTAATCTGGATATCCAACCCACTATGCGAGCCGACTAATCCCAAGGCAACCACCTGCTTTGCAGATGAACCGGAGTCACCACAATTGAACCTCCGTTGCCACAAGAGATTTTTATTTCTTTTTGGATTTGAACCTGAGACCTCCAAATACTTTTGACATTTGGAGTCAAGCTCAAACCAATTAGACACCACCCTTATGATTGTAATCGTGAGTTTTTGTGTCAGCTTATGCGTATCGACCAATCCCTGTTAATCACAAATGGTTTAAAATTATCGTAGGTGTGAGAGCTTTGATAATGCTTATATTAAACCCAAATGGTTAAATACAAACTTATTTTATTGGCTCTATTTTTTAAATTTGACTTCGTCTGGTCGCATTAGGTGAGCCTCCAATGGAGGAATCATATGAAGCAATCTTAGTATAAAATCCACCCAAACTCAAACCAATTTCAGACCAAATCAACACCACCCAATTCACTAACATTCTGTCAGTCATTTCATCAAACACCAAGACTACCACATTCTCTGTCCGGTTTCCATTACTTTTTCTCAGGTAGAAAGCTTCATTCAGTTATTGCTTCAGTTCAAACGAAAGGGGGAAAGGTCTAATATGATGATTGACGATCATATATATTAAGGGGGTTTCATGGTCATGGCTATGGCTATGGCTCTAAAATCCTAATATGATCCGATTTTCAAACAAAGTCTCGTCTCTGTTCATTCCCTTCTCTTTTATTCTTCAATAAAATCAAACCCATTTGAGATTCCAAGTTTATTCTAGTGAAGTTGTTAGAATGGTGAAGTTTTTGATTCAGAATACAGTTATGGATATGAATCTGATCAGAGTTTATGCTTCCGATGCTTGATCCATTATTAATAAACCCCCAAATTTCAGATAATTTCGTTTGTAAATAGCTTATTCACACATGAATTTGATCAATATCAAGAAGAAACATCAATGGTTTCAAATTCAAATGCATATTCAGGGTTCTTAAAACACGAAATCTCACCGTATTTCGATTTTTTCTACAAAATTTGATCATGTTCTTATGGTTTACTTTCATTATTTGCAGTCAATTAAGCAAAGAAACCGAGGTTTGTTTTAGAGATTTGAGGAGATGAAGATCGCCGTGAGAGAATCGACGATGGTGAGGCCGGCGGAGGAGACGCCGATGATAAAACTATGGAACTCCAACGTCGATTTGGTAGTCCCCAATTTTCACACACCGAGTGTGTATTTCTACCGGCCCACCGGCGCCGGCAACTTCTTCGATCCGACGGTGATGAAGGATGCTTTGAGCCGGGTGTTGGTTCCGTTTTACCCGATGGGAGGACGATTATCGAGAGATGAAGATGGCCGGATCGAAATTGATTGTCGAGGCCAAGGCGTGTTGTTCGTTGAAGCGGAATCCGATGGCATGATCGACGATTTCGGCGATTTTGCTCCGACGTTGGAGCTCCGGAAACTTATTCCGGCGGTCGATTACTCCCTCGGAATCGAATCGTATTCGTTGCTGGTCTTGCAGGTGACTTACTTCAAATGCGGTGGCGTCTCGCTTGGAGTCGGGATGCAACACCATGCCGCCGATGGTGCATCGGGGCTGCACTTCATCAACGCGTGGTCTGATATGGCTCGAGGCCTTGACCTCACCCTACCGCCCTTTATCGACCGAACCCTCCTCCAGGCCCGCGACCCGCCGGTTCCCGTCTTTGAGCACGTCGAATACCAGCCCGCTCCACCGATGAAATTGGCACCCAAATCGGCATCGGACGAAACCGTTGTCTCGATGTTCAAGCTAACCCGAGACCAACTTAACGGGCTAAAAGCGAAATCAAAGGAAGACGGAAACACGATTAACTACAGCTCCTACGAGATGTTATCGGGCCATGTTTGGCGGAGCGTGTGTAAAGCCCGCGGGCTGAAGGATGATCAGGACACCAAGCTGTACATCGCCACTGATGGACGGGCCCGCCTTCAACCCGCACTGCCCGCAGGATATTTCGGGAACGTGATTTTTACCACCACTCCGATAGCGGTGGCTGGAGAACTTCAATCGAAGCCAACGTGGTACGCCGCCAGTAAAATCCACGACGCTTTGGCGAAGATGAACAACGATTATCTGAAATCGGCGCTCGACTATTTGGAACTACAGCCTGATCTTAAGGCTCTGGTTCGTGGTGCCCATACGTTTAAATGCCCGAATCTTGGGATAACGAGTTGGGCTCGGCTCCCGATTCACGACGCAGATTTCGGATGGGGTCGACCCATATTCATGGGACCCGGTGGGATCGCTTTTGAAGGTCTGAGTTTCGTGTTACCAAGCCCGATCAACGATGGGAGCTTGTCGATCGCCATTTCGCTGCAATCCGAACACATGAAGCTTTTCAGCAAGTTCTTGTACGACATCTAAAACTTCCAATACATTCGTTATGATTTTTTCATTGTCGTAAAGTTTTTAATCGAAGCTCGTAAAATATGATACCGAAAGGGAAAAACTTATGTTAAAACCCGACCATAAGTAGCTCGATTGGTTAGAGCGTTGTTAAATTGGAAGAGATTGATGTTAAAACGGGCTCGTGAGTAAAATCTGGTATCGTTGTTATAGCGTTGTTAATCAAACTAGCCCAATATGACTCATACTGAAATGGTTGATTAACCCAGTATTATCTCACACTGAAATGGAGTCCGGAAGGTAATATGTAAGCAAATTTGACTTCTACTGCAATTGTCACACTTGGAGCTTAATAGGCTTAACGAGATTCACACCGCTTATTCGGTCAGTTATACATTATTGTTTGGTAGTGGTTTAATGATATAGAAAGTGACTTATTTAGTAAGAACGTCTCCAACAACTTTTCTATAATTTTTCTAAAATAGAGAAACAAAATTTATTTTTTTCTATTTTAGGAAAGTTGTTGGATATTTTCTAGGCTTTTAGGGGGAGTTTTATGCAGAAA